GGCATGTTGGTTGGCTGGCACCTCTGTGCCCCAGGAGCAGGGCAGGCAGAGAGCACCTTCTGCCAGCAATCCTCCAGCCCACCTCAGCTGCCTGCACAGTCACTGTCTTCAGACAATACTCAAAGAGTGGTGCATCCTCAGTGCTCCTTCACGTGGCCATTTTCTAAATTGGCTACCCATTTTCCATTTGAGCAAATGAGCCCTCGGATCTGAGGGTGGTTGCAAAGTGTTTGCTTTTAGTCAGGTGGGCCAAAACCCAGCCTATAGTAGGAATTGCCAGCTGAGCAGAGAGTTAGTGAGAAGGTTAATCTTATTTCAGAAATAGAGGGAGGGAGATCCATTACAGTGCTTCATTGGAAAAACGTCAAAAGCCATTAGCTGCTGGCTGAAATATATGAAAGGGAGCAGCATTAGCTCTGCTCTTCGTTCTGTCTACAGGTGAAACGAGGCATTTCACCATTTACCTTTGGGAATTAAGATGCAACATGTTTTTAAGCTCCGTTCCTCTGTCACTGGAATTGTTGGTAGAAATATAAAGTATTCTTTTTACTTTGCACGTATCTATTTTCTATTCTGGTTTTGTGTCGTCTCCACACTTACATATGGTGTGCTGTGACTGCTATATATGTGTATATTTATATATATACACTCATACACAAACATATGCAAATATATGTAGTGCTCCAGACAGCTGTGTATTTTATATACACTGTTTTATTTCTCTATGTGCAATATTTGCATCTGGGAAGTAGCATGCCTGCAGTAGTACCACTTGTCTAAACCTGATTGATAGGAAGTATTTGTACATTCCAGTCTCCTGAACAGTTTCAACTACTGCTATTTTCATATTTTCACCTTTCAAAAATAGATCCTTTCAAAAACTGAAAGATTTCCCATTTGGACCTGCATATACTTTTTCTAGAGGTAAATTTTGTTTGGATCAAAAATCCCAGCTATCTTAAATTACTAGTGGACTGAAAATAGTTTTCTTTCTCTATACGAAAGAGGTACCATGTTTTTCAAAGTATACAGACAGGACATCTAGCTGGAAGAAGGATCTACATGCAGGATTTTTAAATCATGAGATTCATAAACATGTTTTACTGTCATTATAAATTTAGTTACAAATTCCTTTCATCCTTGCCCTGATCATTTATCGTTCAGATAGCAAGCTTCTTCACTTTGTAAGAGCTAAATAAACAGTACCAGCACACTGTTGGTTTGTTGTTTTTTTTTCTCATAGCACAAAATGTATGATGTGTCGGAGTAGTACCTAAATGGTCTTCTGCTTCTGCTTGGGTGACCTGCATATTGCAGAATGCTGGAAATTCACCTTAAGGCATCCTTTCTACTGCCCAAGCCTGTATTTTATCAGTGGCTGCTGTCTGTGAGTGAATGTCTGTATGTTTTCCCTGACACACTGTGCTACCTGAACTTTTCCTTTGGACACTGTCTTTCTGAATGTTCCCTTCTTCTGGCAGGAGGCAGCGTGGAGACATTAGTTTGTTGGTGAGACCAGCTGGTCTCTTCTTTCTCATGTCCTCACCTGTTAGCTGTAACTGTAGAGCAGCCTGCGTCTTCCTTTCCTGTGTTCTCCCAACTTGAGCATACAGATGAAAAGCAGTCTTTTTTCTTAGATTGGCTTGCCAAACTTTCTGCCATTTCCATAAAAAGATGAGTGGGCTTTCTGTAGTCATCCCCACTGGCTCGTCTTGCAATACAAATGTGATTTGGTTCGGGTATGGACAGATGCTGACATCTCTGTCAAACTAGAGAGATTGTGCGACGCAGAGCTTGTGTAGCCATTATGCCAGCTGTGGGAAGCAGACAACAACCAGCCCAGTGTATGAGCCAGCTGGCCCCAACAGATAGTGTGTGTGAATACAGCATTTTAAAACAGATTCTGGGGTCTCTTGTGCCGCTAAACTCTTGCCTAAAATGTCTGTGATTTATTAAACAAAGCCACCCGCTTTAGCTCAGCTAAGCCTTCTTAAGCAAGACTGATATTTTATAAACAGTAATTACTCGTGCATCTTAATAACGTGGCAGACGTTGGAGCCTCTCCAGCAGCTTTCAGAATCTAAATATGACAAATAAACATCACAAGAGATGAAACTAGAGAGCAGCAAGCCTGAGATGAAGGATGTACTCTGCACATGGTCAGGGTTGCAGGCTCCAATTCAGCACAACAGTTTGGTGTATGGTCACCTGTAAGTATATAAAGCATTTTCCCTGCCAGACCACAGAGGACAGCTTGCACATTTAAATCTTCTCAGGTGCTCCTGCTTCCCAGAATAAAGTGTGTAATAGTGGATAATCTGTATCTAGGGTGGTCCTTACTGAAGTAGTCAAAGATAAATACTTTTATCTTTTAAATGGGATTTGACATTTAAAAGAGGACAAAATGATCTATAAAATACAAATGAAGAAGAGAATTTGTACCAGAGTTTGAAAGGTTACCATGGGAAAGTACTGTGTAAATGTGATAAAAAATTTCTACTTCTACAAAGAGCAAGAGAAACAGCTAATGAAATAATTATCGACAATTAGCAAGTCAGTAAAGGGAAAATGTATTGCAGAAAACACTGCTGTTTATAATTATCCATTGCAATCATTAACAACCTCTTTAAAAGGTTTTCTTTTGTAAATCCCTCAAGAGAGCAACACTAAATAGTTCAGTTTTGGTAGCCCAATTATCATCTGCCTTCCGTAGCATAGCTATGTAAAAATAAAGTAATAACATTTGTATCTGCCTGCTGCTTTATTTTTTCAGTGAAAGTGAAGCTTTCTTCGATTTAAAAAACTTCTCTGTTTAACTTTATATATATAGTTGAATAATACGTTGCTCTTTGCATATATATATTTGAATAATACCTTGCTCTTGAAGTGTCTTGACTTTGTATGCCAGTCAGCAACCTCCAAAAGTGCTGTGCTTGGTTCTATATGACAGATAAACCTGCCTGTTGATACAGACCTCTCTGGCAATGCGTTTATTACTTTGTATTGTTTGTCTTGTTTCTGGAGGTTATTTCAGTGTCCATATCAGTGTGACAAGCTGAGCATTCATGGTAGCCTTGAGTGTAGGAATGGGAAATCCTGTGGCTGTGGTAGCTCTGGGCACTGCTTTCATGACTCTACACCACCTCATGCTGCTCCATGCATCCAAACAGGCTGACCAGAGCTGGCCTCAGATGGTCTGTGGAGCTCTGCATCTTGTCACATCATCACTCCGTTCTCAGGCACGGTGTCCTTCATTATGGTGGGATCTTCATTTTTTCATTGACCTATGTGGTAATGAAGTGATTCATGCCATGTTTATGTTAATATATTTTATTCATGCCATGTTAATCTTGATGTATTTTAATACTGGATTTAGTGGATCATATTTTTCTTAGGTTTTTGTGAGACCAATAATGAATGTAATAGTCTTTGGAACAGAATTGCAGCACCCATGTAGGGCTTTCTCAGCTGTGAGGCTGACTCGATTAGAGGATGTTTCTGCTGTGTCTGTCAAAATTAGAGCTGCCTTCCTTGCTGAAAGGAGGTCGCTCGCTGGTTCTGTGATCTCAGCCTTCCATTTCATTCAGTGCTTTAGCAGCTCACAGCAGATCCATGGATCTGAGTAGCAAGGCCATGGCAGGGAGATATAACATTACCAGGAGGTCTGTTGCTTCAGCCTCTGAGCGTGAGGCCATTCCAACCTGCTACAAGCCTCTATCCTTAAGTCTCAAATGGTCTGTAAATGACTGTCTATTTTATTTTTTGCTGTGCTGTTTATGTTTACTAGTTATCAAAACCATACAGGCTGTTTTACTATGGTGACAATGTGTGCATTTTTGTTGGCTTGAAAGCTAGTTTAAGCTCACAAGCGAGCAGGAGCCATGTCAGGGCCTTGCTAGTTGCTCTTTATCTGTTGAATGAAAGACCATCAGGAAGCAGACCCTCACCTTGAGGCCAGAGTATGTTTGTTACCCTCTGTACTGGATAGGGCTTGCAGATTTATCTTCGAAAGAGTTGGCTGACATGGTCTAAATTGAAATTTGAAAGAAAACTGAAAATTAATCAGTGTGTACAGTCAGAAGGCTGCGCTTCAGACTCACTGCCTGCCCCACAGTTATTTGCACACAGCCCTTTGCATGCAAGGCTGTTGCTTTCTCAACCTTCAGCCTGAAACCTGTCAGCAACTTCTTATAGCTCACTTGTTGATACAGACATCTTTGAAAATTAGCATGGTAGTCTGACAACCTCCAAGTGTCCCAAAAAGCTTCAAGTGGACAGCACTTTGTTACCAGTCATGTGGTTTTAAGGAAGGGCCTGGGCATTCTGGTGCACTACAGGTTGGCTATGAGCCAGCATGTGCCCTTGCGGCCAAGAAGGCCAGTGGTATCCAGCAGTGAATAAAAATGAGCGTGGCCAGCAGATCTAGGGAGGTGATCCACCTCCTCTACTCTCCCTGGTGAGGCCACATTTAGAATACCATGTCCAGATCTGGGCTCCCCGGTTCAAAAAAAGACAGGGTGCTCCTAGAAGGAGTGCAGCAGAGGGCCACAAGGATGAGTAAAGGCCCATATGAGGAAAGGCTGAGAAACCTGGCTCTGTTCAGCCTGGGGAAAAGAAGACTGAGGGGAGATCTGATTAATGTTTATAAAGATCTGAAGGCACATGGATGAGGCCAGGCTCTTGTCGGTGGTGTGTAGTTATAGGAAAAGGAGTAGCGGCTAAACAATTATTTTTAATTAGATAGGGATTAATCTGTATTAAGCAAGATGTTTTTATGTTTGAGAATTTCATAGGGATGTAGCTTTCAAAATTACATCCATGAAAAACTGATTTTAAGAAGAGCTGCAATGATTTAAAATATAAATGAATGAGAAAGCATGTGGTGCCAAGCTGTCTAGCAGCCGCCGTGTGTTCTGTAAAGCCAGAGGCATATTTTTAGCCTGACTCTCAGTTATGCATATTGCCACAACTGTTTATGATACTGTTTTCTTTGTTCGTAGATGAAGTCTTGTCTGAAAACTTTCTGGACTACAAGAACCGTGGAGTCAATGGCTCTCATCGTGGTCAGATTGTCTGGAAGATTGATGCCAGTTCTTACTTTGTGGAGCGTAAGTATTGTTTCAATTTTACCATAGCGCAATTCAGCCTTTGCAGAAAGATAATTGAATTCCTTGTTGAGTTGTTCTTGTGATTGTGTTATGCCCAATATATCCTGTAGGAAAGGCCAAAAATGTTACCATAACTTTGAACGCATTAAGAGGAACTGAAATGCCCTATGAATTAGAAAAACGTGGCTTCTGCAAGAAAATAAATCTTGTGGGTATTGTCTTGCTTGCATATTTTAACTTTTTAAATACAGCTGTTGAAAAATATTTAATCAGTTTGCTGTTATTTGAACATTGCCATTAGCAGTGAGTGGCATTTACTTTAATATAGTGTTAAGAAAAAGAGCTCCAGGACATAATCTCATTTCTGGAAGATTCACACTGTCTTTGAGCTGGAAAACCTCATTTTGGGTCCACCATATTTGAATAGATGCAGAAATCAAAAAAGGGTTCAGTCTGGTTATTGTCTAGCTTGCTGTAACTGCGTGTTGTTACACTTGTATCAAAGTAATGCGATAGCAAATTAATTGTTCCTCATTGTATTTGTGTATTATGCAGGGTGTCTGATGCAATGCAGTGTAACACTTTCCCACCCTTCTCTTAATAGTCAAATGCATAGACACTGAACTCTCTTGTACAAAGAACTGTGCACTCCATTCAGAAAATTAACATTTCCAGACTTTGCCATCCCACATCCCTGATCAAAGTGAGCCTGATCATTGGAGTCCTTTTAAAGAGTTACTGTGCGCTAGTATGAATGGAATTTATGGTCTCTAATTTCCTCCAAAAAACGTATGCATTTCTTTGGTGAGCAGAAATAGGGTACGCAAAAGTCTGTACTGAGATTTATAGAAAATATCCATGGGAAAGGGCTGCAGGTATCCTTAAGGAGTCAAATGTGAAGGAGCCTAGCATTCAGCAGTTACACTTTTTCAGTTGTACTGAATGTTTTCAATGATCCACCTTAGCCTGAGCAAAATTCAGAGTTGTGTGTAAGCGTATAAGAATTGCATGGTAGTCAGATGTATCTGCTTAAGACTGTCTGAGCTTGAGGGCAATCAAGGGAATCTTTGATAAAACCTGAATTCTGAAAGAGTTAGAAAGGATATGAATTATACTTGATCAGATTCATCTCTGATTTTGACCTCAAGCATCAAGAAGGATGCAGCATGCACACATTTTACAGAAATTCAATTTTAGAGACATCTTCTCTCTTCTCAGTATGAACTATTGCTAATGATCTGTAATTCACACTTTTAAGTTGAGAATATTCTTAAAGATTGAAGGGAGCTATTGAAAGAGTATCTGTGGATACAAGGCGTGTTATGATTGTTCATATCCTGTGTTTTAAAAAATACATTGCTGGGAAATTGTTTAATATACAAGAACTTTGTTTTTACTTGCCCTACTTTTAGAGCAGAAATACTTGATAGGATCTAACCTTTAAAATAAGATTAATTTGCAACTGCTCCTTTGATCTTCAGTTATCAATCCGTGAAATTGATCATGCTTACTTTTCACTGTGAAAGAAGTGTGGGGAGAAGATGTAATATTGTAGAACAGGGTTTTGAAGAGGCCTTAGTGTCTCAGTTTATGGATAAAAGCAGAGGAGAAAAGAGTCAATGTGAGAACTCCTTAAAAGAAAGCCTCTCCTGGTGGGCCACATTTCATTAAGGGCTCAAGTGCACAATTAATTATGGCTGCATAATTAGTTGTCTCTGTTAACTGAGACACAGTAACTGTTGTTAATTGATTTTGTGTATATTCTTTAATTGCCCTAATATGAGAATACACAGCTTAGCATAGTAGCCATCCCTCACTGACAGTTAAAGACTAAGTCATACTACACCGTATTTGGGCTGCTCATGCTTGATGAGTTGCTGCTGCTTGTTAATTTGTTATGCTGCCAACATTAGCCTATGAATCTCTGCCCTGAGATTATGTCCCATCAAGGATGAATTATTGCCCTGTTCAGATTTAAAATAGAAGACAGTGAAGTAGGAAGTAGTAAATAACAGCACATGTAAATACACTCAATGCTGCTTTACCATTGAAATAAGAAGTAAACGCAGTGAAAGAAGTTGATGCATATGAAACATATTTATATAAAAGCATGTTTGAGTGCTCCTGCTCATTGTTGAGAATTATGTAGGAAATTACACAACTTCGTAGTTGATTAAACGTTATGTTGAAAACTGCAGTGGCTGATTGTTTTCTTTGTTTTCTATCCAGAGACAACTGTGTAGGCCACCTTCTTTCAGACTCTTCTTTTTCTTTTGCATCTTTTATGTTTGCGCAGCACAGGAATGTTGTGACATTTTCAGGAATCAGAAAGATACTGATCGTCAAAATCAATCTCATCTAAGATGAAAAAACCTGCCTCCTTTTTCAGAAACTACCTTGGGGACAGGACATTTGTTCAGCAGTAAAGCAGTGTAAGAATTGTCATGTTGGTCAACAGTTAACCTGACGTGGTATCCTGTCGCCAAAAATAGCCAGTGATGAAGATTTGGAAAAGCATATAGAGAGAAGTGTTAATAACTCCCCCAGCTGGAGTGCTGAGAGTTTCTGTTAATATGTTGCTGAAGCACTTGCTGCCTTACGCCGTTTTTTTATTTCCTAGAGGTCAAGGGATATAACAGGTAGCTAAGAGCCAGCAATTCATTTCAAGATGTCCGCATTTTTTTTCTATGCATAATGTTATGTTTCCTTTAACTCGATATTGATCGGAATCTTGCTTAGCATTCATTCTCCATAGAACAGAGCAGCTTTCACTTGCAAAGGTAACCCTTCATTTCTGTGTTTACTTTTGCCAGTAAATACCTGTACTTTGCTATCTGTAGTGAGTCAACACTGGCAGTTTATCAACTACACAGTGCTTTAGAAAAGGTTATGGTATACAGTGCAGTGTTTGGCCCATTGTAGCAGGGAAGTGCCATGATAAAGGGGAAATCATAACATGGCCAAATGAAGAATGAATTCTACACAAGTTTAAATTCTAAGTTCCCAAAACCTTAAGACAGACAGCTTGGTAGCTGCTGTTGGAATGTATAAAGATTTCACGTTTTTTAGAATGTCACTGTCCTATTGAGGGATTACAGGAATCATTCTGTCTGCCCTCAGAAGTCAAAGTTTTCCTTTTGCCAGCAGCTAATCTTTAGTACACCCCAGTGGGTGTCTTTCAACATTTGAGAAAATTACTGTTATGCAGTTTCCAGCCCCTTGAAGTGAAGAGCTTAATGGACATTCACAACGGAAATCTTCCTTCTATCAGATGCAGCTATAATGACAGGCAAAAACCATTGACCTGGAGGACTCACTGTGGGAGAGGAGACTAGCCATACTGTGAGAGACACGTAGAAGCACATCAGGAGTGAAGGACACAGAGAAACGTGTGGCAAGAGATTGAAACTGTTTTTTGTGTAAACTGCACTGCTTGTACCTTTATAAAACTGAAATTCTGCTATTTTGGATGTTGAGCTCATAGTGCGTTGTGTCAGCTGTTACACTAACGGTTGCTTATTCAGGTATACTTACAATCTCGGTTAAGCAAATGCTTTTTGTTAGGTGGGTCTGTGACAGTGCCTAATAGATTTCTCATTTTGGTACACATCTCTGTGTTTTGGGGGTACTTGGTTAATAGATTTTTCTTTTCAAGTTTACTGATAGCCTGGTTTAAGACCACCTAGGGAACTCTTACTTTTCAAAACAAAAGTAATTTCTTGATGTATGCCTATGTATCATTTTCAGATACCGTGGCATTTTAAAAAAAAATTGTTTGTTTGTAGTGGTCTGTTTTTTTACCTTGGGAAGTGCTTAGTATCTTTCCCAGAGATGCATATGCCTTTCCAGTTTGCATATCACAAACTCACAATATAGAGACAGATATGTGACTGTGCAAGCCAGAGAGAGAACTGCTTCCAAATTACAGTGTGAATGCAGGCAGAGCAGAACTCATCTCCTATTAATACTCAACAAATAAAAAACCTTAACAACTGCAGAGGCAACAACATGCTATGTCCAGTTTTGCATTTCTGCGGAAGCTTAGCAATTCAGGCTTTATGACAGCCAGTGATAAACAGCAACCATCCATGGTAAACACAAATTGTTTGGGGTTTGGGGAGAATAAAGGGGAGGGAAGAATACCTACGTGCCATAGGCATGTGTACTTTGTGTCGAGACTTGGAGGGCACTGCAGTGAAAGAATCAGCTTGTCATAGGTTTACCAGGAAAGTAAGCATGCTCTACTTCGTTGGAATTTGTGGCACAACTTTTTGGCCATATATACAACAATACAAAGAGAGAAACCATTTCACTAAGGGGCAGTGCAGCCTTTTCCGGTATGCACAGTGTCAAACTGTTGTATCTCTAAAATTATGATAGAAGTTTTGACACAATTCAGAATTACATCAAAGATAGTCAAATACCTGGGACCTCTGTTAACCCATGAGACTTTCAGCATGTCATTTTGTCAACCAATAAAACAGTTTCCAAATGTGGAAGCTTATGCAGCCCTTGATTTACTACATTTATTACTGTTGTAGCTGCATTTTTATCAAAAACAGATGATAGGCCTTTCAAAGACCAGTTATAGTTATTTATTCCTATTGGTCTTGGGAATTAAAAGGGATTTGGTGGTAAAAAGGGCATTCAACTAAATAAGATAGAATTCTGGGAGTTTCTGGTATGCCTACAGACAAATGGTAGTCAAGGGCAAATAATGACTGGCTTATGGTCAAAATACGCTATGTGTGCATTTATGGAATATGAACATAAAGAGGAGACAAAACTGGTATGTAATCAGCCCTTTTATCTGAGGCTCCTTCTAGAAAATCTATATGAGGCAGCTGATTTCAAGGCCGCTTTCAAAGCACAAATAACTGAAGGATGTAGCAGCCTCAGAGGTTTCCAAATAAATGATATGCAGTCGTATCAACAAACGCTGTAATGAAGCTGAAGTCTTTTTAAAATTTTTGTATTTCAAGGCACATACACTTCACTGG